CTGACCCAGTCCTTGTCAAACAGCAATAATGAGGATCTGAGGAGTGTCCTTATTGTCCTGACCATGAGGTCACCACAGATGTGAGCCCTGATGAACTGGACTTGGAGTCTTTTTTTTCGAAAAAAAAAGACTCCAAGAAAAATTTTTTTTCAAGAAATTTTTTTATAAAATGTTTAAAAAAAAAATTTCTTGAAAATTCTTTTGAAAAAATAAATTTTTCGAAATTTAAAAAAAAAAAAAAAAAAAACCCTGACTGAGGGTCCCTGGGTCAGAGGTCACAAGGAGATTAACTTTTACAGACAATAACTTTAAAGTTAATTTCTTGTTAGCTGGATCGGTAATTTTTTTTTCCAGAGTAAAGACTTCTTCACACTAATAAGACACTACATGAACGTACTGTATCTCTGTCCTGGAATGAGGACGTGCTGCGTACTGTAGTTATGCTTGTTATGAAGTGGAGCTGGATTAAGGCTAAATACTGGAAGTGCAGACCTGCTCATTACAGTGTGACACTGTAATGATAATCATTTCAGAGGTATTTCAGGAGAACTGAATCAGGTTTAGACTTCTGCTGAAGTCAGGCGTACATAACAATGTTTTTAAAAAGTTGGCGATAACAGTGTTACATTTTTTTAAATATTTTCTGTTAAGTCATTTTAATTTTCACATTTACTTTGTTTTCTCAGTGCTTTTACTGAGCTTTGTTTTCCATGACAAGCTCATGTACTACATGGCTTTATGTTTGTGTATTTAAAAATGAATGTTGTTAAGATTAAGACTGTGAATACTTCTTATTGGTGCTGTATCAGGGATGTGAGTGCAGTAGGATTTGGTCTGGATCTACTTGATCCGGGGCTCTAAAAGAATTAAACTTACATGAGAACTAAACCAATTTTTAATTTTTAATTTATCAGCGTTACGTCACTGGGTAATCCTTAAACACAACTAACTGTTGCATAATTACACGGTTTTTCTCTCAAAGTAAAGTCAAGCAAAACCACAAGTCAGACTGTGGGAAAATAATTAACAAAATAGTCGAACATGTCACGAGAAGACGGTCAGAAAACACAACAAACTCACACACACACACGTGTGTTTGTTCTGAGGAAATGTTTCTAATACTGTGAGAAAACCTTTTCCTCATATCAGTATCATGCGGCAGAACTACATTCTACGAATGATTAAAAAATAATAGACGGAACGATCGGATCCGTTCAACATTTAAGGTTTATTGTTCGTAATTTTATATATGCCAGAGTTTTGTTTTTTTTAATAAACCACAGTTACAGTTACTGAGACTTTCCTCAGTCAATAATGATACAAAAGTCTCATTACAGCAGAATGTTTTTAGATCAGCGGTCCCCAACTTTTTTGGTACCAAGGACCATCGTTGAAGGATCATTAAATTTCCTCCAGACTTCTGTTAGTACCAGAGTCTGAATGACCTGTTGTTGTTTTGGAACATTGACCGATTATCTTTGAATGAAAAAAACTAAAGGGATATGACTGGATACTTTTTGAATAAAGTAAATTAGTAAAACTGAAGTACATTTTTTTAACTGTGTCCCAAATGACCTACGGACCGGCACCGGTCCCTGGACCGGGGGTTGGGGAGCTCAGATTTAGATAATTATGATCTTTACGCCTGAGCTTTATGCAACAGAGACTGAGAGACTGAAGCTCACACTGACAGAAGACAAAAAAAAATCCATCTATATTTTATAGCTTATTTTTTATCAGTAAAAAAAAATCAAGTGGCAAAAAATCCATCTATATTTTATAGCTTAATTTTTATTAGTAAAAAAAAAATCAAGTCGGTTTGGATAAAAGCTTCTGCTAAACGCGTAAATGTAGCGTTGTCACCGTGAGCCTCAGTCAGTCAGCTGGTCATTCAGTCAGTCAGTCTCTTCAACAGTCTCACTCTAACTCTGGACCAACCGTTTTCACAAACCAGTTTACTACTGATTATTAATCAAAAATAAAAGGCTTAATTCAGAGGCACATTTTAAAACAATATACAATGGAATGCATAGAAAGTTGTGCAGTTATAACTAAGAGACATTTATATAAGATTTAATTTAATTTTGGTCTCTGTCTGTGCCAACAGGAAACCAGTCATCCAGTCAGGTACTGAACAGTTACTGAGAAGAGAACCTCCAGTGAACTGACGTCACACTTCTGACTAAAACACAGGCAGGTGTGTCGTAGCTTTCTCAAAAAAAAAACCCAAAAACCCAACCTTTAAATCAACTTAGAGCAGGCATGGGCAAACTAAGGCCTGGGGGCCAGATGCAGCCCATTCAGCTTTTTAATCCGGCCCTCCAAACTTTTCTAAATTATATATTTATATTTACGCGTCTGCCTTATCCCTACAATACCAATGTTTACCCAATAGATGGCGTAAAAAATGATAAAAGGACATTAGCATTTTAGCCTTTATGCATGACTTTTACATGTCATTTATCTTAGTTCACACTGTTCCATTTTAGGACAATTGTGGCCCGCGGGTCAAAAAGTTTGCCCACGCCTGATTTAGAGTCTCTGACAAAAGTGCTATTGATTGATTATTAGTGTGAGGTTAAAGAGGAGACGTCGTCTCAGGCTGCGTTCACACTGCATTAGGATTGTGTTTTGTGTCGTGTGGTTGTTGACATTATCCGCGGGTTGTGACCATCAGTGTCCACTGTGTCCACGGCCCTGAAGTGACCTTTGTGTCACGATGTCACAGGCTGTGTTTTACAGAAGTGAAAATGGACGCTACACGTGACGGTGTGTGTGTGTGTGTGTGTGAAGTAACGAGTTGTTGTTCAACCAACGTTGGTCAGTTTGATCGCTTTGCTTTAAACTGTAAACAACAGACGCCCACTTCTCGCTGCCCCGTGATACCAATGATTTACAATCACATGAAAGTGAAATAATTAAATGTGAAATAATCTGAGATCGCTTTAAAAAACATCAGTTGACTACATGTGAAAGTGGGCGGGGCCAGATTATATTTTAATGAAAATGCTTTTGTGCTGTTCACACTGTCATTAAAAACCCCCCACAGATGAGCAAAAATAAATCAGATGAAGTCACGTTTGTCTGTAGTGTGAACGCAGCCGAGGTGGAAGAGTGAAAAGTGTAAACTCTCGTCTCAAACTATTTTTTTTTTATTAGCTACGAGACAAATTATATACAAAAATACTTACATACATGTATAGTTTTCAGTAGACCAAAATGCATAATTCGTTGAACAAGAATCATTGACAGTACTTCAAATACTACATCTGGTTATGTGTATTACTGTGTAGAAAACTCTGTGGGTTTGTAGTGTTGAATCACAGTCTGTATTTAGTCCCTTTAGGTCATACTAGGTCTCTACTAACTCTCTTTAAGACTCAGTGTGTGTGACTGTAAACTACACAGGAATGTTTAAGAAGAACCCAAATGTCAAAGTCAAAACTTGTTCCGTCAGCACAGGTCTTGACCTGGGAAAGGTCACAGCGGGTGACTGTCAGTAAGTGTCAGTGCTGCAGGACTTGACCCCAGTCTACCATATGACCACAGTGCAGTGTGGAGCGGGTGGATTCCCTGAAATGAAGAGGATGTGTTGCTTCCTTCTATTCACTCGAGTGTGGAAAATTCTACACCTCCCTCGACTGCGGGAAAACGTCGGCGACATTAACGTGCGGTGCGTAGATTTCACTCAGTCCCCACTCAGTTACAGTTACAGTTACTGTGTTACCTGACAGTGGTGTCGAACCTCCGCGGCTTCAACAGGAGCTGGTCTGGAGGTTGCTCTCTGTGAGGATGGAGGTGATGGAGGTCTGGTCGTACAGGCTGTCGTCGTCGTCGTCTGAGCTCAGGGCAGAGGAGTCCAAGGCTGAGCGCTTAGCCGCTTGAGTCTTCCTCCTGTAAGGCATCATCATCATCATCATCATCATCAATATCATCATCACAGTCACTGTTCCTGTACATGCTACATAAAGCAGGTATTATGTCATTCACTTGTTTAAATCTAAAAGTTTTGAATTGTTGATGATAGTACTCCCCCTGCTGGTAACATAATGCTGGCAAAGTTTTTATTTATTTATTTTTATTTAATTAAATCAGAAATAAATTTTATTGCATGCTTAAATACATTTTTGATGATTTTTATCCTTTCAAAAGTCAGTCGCTCCCTGACACTAAATACAGGAGGGATATAGAGGAGGAAATACGATATACACAATATACAGGAAGGGAGGACCTCTTAACCAATGAGAGCATCTGGGGTCATGCCTGCTGCAGTGCACTCATGAACCAGAGGAAGAAGAAAAAAGAAAAAAAAAGAACATGGATGTCAGGAAATGAAGGAAAGTCCCTAATGGATATTTTAATTTTTAATCGCTCCTAGATGATGGTGTTTAAAAAAAAATTATTTGTCATACTTTGAGTCTAAATTAGTGCAACACAAAAGGGTTGATATTTCTTAGCGTTCATCCAATTTGTTTTAAGAGGAAACTGAAAGTCATTGTATTTTTAAGAAGTGTTTCATACACCTTTAATGTGATAAATTAGAATTTTAAAGGCATGACTCATTACCCAGCACTAATTACTTAGTAGTGGAAGAATGACTGGAATTTTTTTTTTGCTGGCGCAGCGTGAGTGATGTCACTCCAGTTTACTGAAACATCTCTTCACACACAGGCGACGGCTGGTAAGTTCTGGAAACACAGAGCTGTCAAATACTGCACCAAACAGAGACTGACTGTAACCTCCACCGGTCGACCGTAAATGACTGTAAATGAATGCAGTCAACAGCTGCAGAATCCGACTACACAAGAATCAATGCATCATCTGTCAGGAAACCACGCTGAGTAATAAACTGGACGAGAGACAGACAAGAGTAAGAATAAAAATGAAAATGAAAGTGTTTACTTCAGCTCAGCCTCCAGGGCGGCGATCCTGGACTGTAAGGCCTCTTTAGTCTCCATCTGCTCCTCCATGTCTCTCTGAGCTTTTCTTCTCAGGCCGTCCAGTCGTTCCAGCTCCGTCTCGCTCTCGTCCACCTGCCTCTTCAGAGCCTTCACTCTCAGAGCAAACTGAAAAGAAAACAATACTTTTTGATGTACAGATACAACGCAGGACAGATATATTAGCCAGGGAGTATTTGTGTTTTTACACACAGTATTCTTGAACATACTACAGTAGCTACAAGTTACATTATTTTTTACTTTAAATGCAGAAAGAGTTACTTAAATAATGCCAAGGCTAAAAATGTTAGTCTCTCAATCTCCCAGGTCAACACTGCACCCTTCTGGTCGAATACTATACTGCACTTTCAGGATTTCAATATCAAATTTTTGAAACATATTTCAAAAATTTCTGTTCCTCTATTAAATAATTCACTGACCCCAAAAAAAGTTGAGAACCCTAGTTTTAGAATATCACTTTTTTTTAAGTCTCATCACTGGTTTATAGAAGCTGAAACAGTATTTGTTATAAATGATGTTGATATTGATCAAAGTTGATATTTGTTTGCTTGATGAACAAATTTAAAACTTAATTAATATAGAATGCTCATTGAACTGTTTACTGTGTATAAAAACAAAAATAATTTATTATTTATTAGTGTTAGTTCTTTCAGACATGTCTTCATGTCTACCTGGTCTCTCTGTTCAGTATGTGACTGTCTCTCTTCGTCCAGTGTCAGATTGAGGTCTTTGAGTTTCCTCTCCAGACGACGCTGAGACGCCACCACGGTGTTTTTCTCTCTTTTCAGAGAGAAGGAAAGAAAACAGAGCGTAAGAGAATCCATTGTAAACAGTCTCAACATCTCGTGACGCTCAGGTTTGTTCACTCGCTGCACCCATTAGGTTATTGAGTCGTACAGTAAACATAGGTCACATGACTTAAATGTACAGAGAACATTTAAAATGTGTTTTTCTAAGTCCAGGTTATTGAGTCGTACAGTAAACATAGGTAAATGTACAGAGAAAATTTTAAATGTGTTTTTCTAAGTCCATAATTTAAATCATAACAACAATTCCACAGGACAATATATGAATGCTAAAATGCTTTTAGCATTTTTCTACGCCATCTATTGGAGAAATTTGAATATTGCAGGGAAAAGGCAGAAGTATAATGATAACAAAAATAAATTATATAATTTAGAAAAGTTTGGTGGGTCGGATTAAAAAGCTGAACGGGCTGCACCCGGCCCCTGGGTCTTAGTTTTCCCCATGCGTGCTGTAATGTCACAGCAAAGAAATTGCTGGTTTGATTCCCACATTACCATTACCTTTCCTCACTGCGTAATCGTTCTTCCAGCTCCAGGATCTTGTTTTCCAGCTGCGAGACTCCTGCCGAGGAACGAGTCTGACCCTCCATGTCGACCACACGAGTCCTCAGCTCCTTCAGCTGTGGGCACAGGTACAGATTAGAGTTGTAATAAAAAAAAATAATGTAAAAAGTGTCAAGCACAGACTGATATGTGCACACATACGTGTCTCTCCATGGTGTTCTTGTCCAGCTCCAGGTCCTGTTTTGAAGACCTCTCCTGCATGAGTTCAGAGCGCAGCTGGTCGATCTGGTCCCTGCTCCTGGACACACGGTCACTCAGCATCTCCACGCTGTTTTTCTCCTCCTCCAGCTCCAGCTCTATGCGCTTCAGCTTGTCCTGACAATCAGAGACGAGACCAAATCAGCTCAAAGAAGAGGAAAGAACTCCCACAATTATTTTAAATCAAAGTACTGTAGTGACCTCTGTCACCAAGACAGAAATTTCACATTAAATGTGGTCATTAAGAGTGACAATAAGAGTGGGGGTAAATAAAATATTTTCAACATTGTCTTGGGACCATCTATGTTTTTTTTTGTCTTGTGAGACGCATCTTACCTCCAGAATGCGAATCTCCCTCGTTTTCTCATTGTAACTGTTTTTGCTGGTTTCTAACTCTCCCTCCAGGTGGCGCAATCTATTGGAAAGAAGTTCTTTATCCAACTGATGGTTGTCTCTTTCCTCAGACACCACCAGGAGCTCTTTTTTCTGCCGTGCAACCTGGTTAAGACAGAGTTAATTTCTCACAGCTACCCAAGAATTCAGAAGAAATAAACCGTGTATTTATAAGTATCTGAATGAGTTTTTAGAGAGACATGGAAACAAGTGTGTGTACAATTAGTAAAACACTCACTTCTTCCTCCAGTCTTTTTACACTGACGCTACGTCGTTCCAGCTCGGTCTGAGCGTCAGTTCCATGACGCTGAACCTCCTGTATTTCCTTACGCGCCTTCTCCTTTTGCTCCTCCAGTTGAGCCTTCAGAGTTTGGGCCTCCTCTGCAGACGACTTGGTCAGAGTTTCAAACTGGAAAGACGTATACAATAATACTGTAAAATAAGGAGCAGGAGCAGAAGGCTCCAGGTCGTCAATGCTTTTTTAAAATGACATCTCCTGGGACGTTTTCTTCAAACCTCTTTGTTAAGTTTGTCCAGAGATCTCTCCTGGCGACGCTTCGTGTCCTCCAGCTGGGTGACGTTCTCGAGAAGCGTCTGCTTTTCTTTCTCTACATCCTGCAGGCGTACGGTGAGTTCTCGATGCTCTTGGTTCAGTCTGGAGACTTTTCTGTTGGCCTCATCGAGCTCCGATCTCAGGCTTCTCACCTCGGAGTGCAGGTTCAGCTCCACCTCCGAGCTCTCCGTGGCGCTGGTCTGCAGCTGGGCCTGATGGAAACACACAGTGTGAGATTTGCAGTAATGTATGTGTATGTGTGTGTGTGTTTGTGGTTCTTAGCATCACCTCTTGTATGTGTATGTGTGTGTGTTTGTGTGCGTGTGGATGTAGCATCACCTCGAGTCGCGAGACTTTATCCTTGAGACGAACGTTTGCGTTTTTCTGTTCCTGCTGGGATTCTTCCAGTGAGGCCAGTTCCATCTGAGTTTTGTTCAGATTCATTTTACTCTCCTCTAGTTTGATTTCCGTCAGCACCAAATTCTCCTTGAGCTGAGTGATTTCAGTTCGTGTGTCGTCGAGCTTCTTCTCCAGCTCTGACACAGTGGCTGGGTCTGGGAGCTGCGTGGTAGACCCAGAAAGGACACATGAGGGGATTACTTTTTAGAGGAGCCATTATCTTAAACCCTGAACACTTCACTGGAAAACTAAGCCAAACCTTCTTGTTTTTCTCCTGAGCTCTGGCGTAGTCATCTTTAGCCCGCTGTAACTGGCCCTTCAGCCTGTCAATCTCATACTTCAATTCCGCCTCTTGTTCTTGGTGAGATTTTTTCAGGGCGATAACCTCCATGACCTTCTTGTCAAACTCGGTTCTTTGTTTCTCCAGCTCAGATTTTGACTTCTGTAAATCAGCAGTGTTTCGCTGCAGCTCCTGGGAAAAAAAACAAAAACAAAGGATCAATATCATGGTGAAAATGTTTTATATTTACTGTTACCTCAGTGACAGTGTGACACAGTGTGTGTTTACTACACCTGGTTTAAGGCTTGTGTTTGACTGTGGTCGATGGTCTGTTGCTTCATGGTGCTGACTCTTTCCTGCAGCTCCTTCAGTTCCTCCTCAAACTCCTCTTTTTCCAGCCGAGTTTGCAGCAGACTGAAAAATGTTAATGAGATATTTACTGTTAGCCAGCTGTCAGGGAAAACTGAACGTTGTGAAGTAGAAGAAATAGTTGCATTTTACATTTTTAAACAGGGAACAGATCAGCGTTCCTATCAGCACTTGTTTTTTATGGCTAAAACTTTGCTGCTGTTGAACGTTATTTTTCTGGCACACTTCCAACTAAGAACTAACATGTGGAGGATCCTGACACCACAGTAATGCTTTGGTAAACACAACGTGACAGTTAGTCAATTCTAACAGACAAACTCATTAGTTTGTGTCTCTCATTTTGTTTGAGGGCGGCTGGTTGGCTCTCTGAACAAACAGAGAGGAACAGAGAGCAGGAGAGAGAAGAGAGGCACAGACTTCAGCAGATTTCAGGCCATAAATAATAATGCTGGAAGACCGTTTCCAAACTCACTCCTGTTTAGTTGTTCGAAGTTCATCCCTGGTGGCATGAAACTGCTCCATCCAGTGGCTGCTCTCGTCTCTGCAGTCCTCCAACTGCTGCTGCAGGGTCCGAACTGATGCGTTGACACGTAACCGCTCTGCTTCTATTCCTGCATGAGACTAAAGCAGTAGAGAAAAATCAGTTCAGATCATCAGTAGAGCTAGTGAGGGAAAAAAAAATCTCTTTTAAATTTTAATTTTTATCACAGAGAATAAAAAATTAAATGAAAAAAACTAAACAAAAATAAAGTATTTTATCCCACTTTCCTAGGTTTGTGATTCCTGGTGTACTAGTTAATGCACAATGCACACACTCCAGCCCACTAGGTGGCAGTAATGCTGATAAAGATTGGCATTAAGATTGCTCATTATTTTTTTTAACTTTTATAGGACGTTTGTATGACAGCGTGGATGTGTTGAAATTGTTGTCAAACGTAGATGACTTATGTGTGCGCACACACACACACACACACCTCTGACACCTGCTCCATGCTGCTGCGCAGCTTCTCCATGTCGACTCTGTACTGCTCCCTCAGAACCTCGATCTCCTTGTCGTGTGTGGCCACCTCATCCTTCAGTGCTCCTTTCAGAGCCGTGAGCTCCCTCTCCTTCTGCCTCAGCGTCTCCTCCAGCTTGTGTTTCAGCTGGCACACCTCCATCAGCTGAGTCTGACAGGACATCAGATCCTGCACAGACAGCGGGGAGACAACACACCATATCAGGCTGGTACTGCTGACATTTCAAAGGCTAATAAAATTGCAGTCAACTGAAGGTGTTTTCATGAAGTTTCTGCCTCAGCTTCAGTATTTTTTGGCGCTACCGTCTTGCTGCCGTTTTCTCTTCTCAGTTCATCTTGAAGCCCGGCCAGCTGGTCCTCCATCGCTCTGGCCCGAGCCTCGGCGTTCTCCCTCTCCATGCGCAGCTGAGTCAGCCTGCGAGAAACAGCAGTGGAATTAATGATTCCTCTGATCCCATGACAGTAGTGTGTCTATGAGACTCTGTGAATGAAATACAATAACTGCTTGTTCAGGGGGGTTTCTAACAATGGTGGGCTTGAACACACACACAGTGGAGATGTCTTCACCCATTTTACTCCCCACCACCAAGACTAGTAGACAATAGTGCCCAGTCAATTCTAACTTTTCCACTGTGTGTGTGTGTCCATGTGCTGCCGTGCTCTCACTCTGATTGTGTTTCATTCAACTCCGTCTTCTTCCGGTCAACCATCTCCCTGAGTTGCAGGTTTTCATCCAGACAGGACTCCAGCTCATCTTTCAGAGTGGCATCAGAGTGCTACACACACACACACACACACACAAGCAGCCATGATGAATAAATGAGGCCAGTGAAACATGAGACATCAAGAAGCCCTGGCTGCATAAACAATGGCTTTTAGGAAATGTTAAGGCAGCCTGGCCAACTGATCAATATGCATAAAGGATTAGGTTCTCAGGAGCTATTAGAGATTAAAACCTATCGAACTTACTTGAGTCAACATGTCACGAGGCCTCAGTGAAGTCTTTGTGTACGTTCACCTCTGACCAGGCTAAAGGGCTTCAAGGCTGAGTCAGAGGGTTAATTTGAAGTGCACTCCAAACAACCCAAACCAATCTTGGTTACTTTTTCTTTTTTTTTTTTTAAACCAAGTGAAATCTCTGTGGAGAGCCTCCTCCAGTTTCAACCAGCCAACAGCAATTTCCTTCACTTGGCATTTAAGAGCTTTCATTGTAAGTAGTGTTTATGTGTGGAACTGGATGAGCTCTGTGTAATTAGAGTCGAGCAAAAAAGCAGGTTCCTCTCAGAAAGTTCTAATCCTGTCGAAGAATCCACTTCAAACAGTTTGACTGAATGCAGATTTTGTTCAAATAAAATAAAAAAATAAAAAATGAAAACAACTAACAAAGTGTTTTTCACCTCATTTAAAGACAATGTTTAGTGTTGGAAAAAAAAAATCATATCAGATTTCTTATTTTAGCATTGCTCACCCCTCGTCCTGCTCTCAAAGCGGTTTGTAGCTCAACAATGTTTCTCTCCAGTTCTCTCTTTTCTCTCATCCACTCATCTTTGGGCTGGAAAATGATGAGAAGAGTCAGAAATGTTACAGAAACTACAGACCAGAAGTGCATTTTTGAGGACAAAAGTTTTAGAGTTAAAAAGTATTTCCCCACTGCTGGTAATCTGAGTAAGAAAATAACTTAAGACCTAATAAGTAGGACACAGCACTAAAGAGCAATGTGTGTAAGTGAGATAGAAATTAAACACAAGAAATTCCATGGAGTTATCTAGAGACTTATAAAACAAAAAGTATTTTTCTTAGAAGCACCGACTGTTTCCTTAAATGAGTCTTTTTATAAAACAACATGAGACAAACCTTTGTGTTCTTCTCAATTCTTTGAAGGATGAGCTTAACTTTGTGCCTGATGACAACGTCGTTCTCCTTTGTTCTGCGGTGATGAAAAATGTTGAACAATAACCGCTTTATTACTGTCATCTTTTCAAACTGACCACCATCTGTTTCATTTCAAATGTGGCTGAAAGGGAGGAGAAATACCCTTGCTTCAAAATGTTGTACACATTCTGCATCAGCTGCTCCTCCTCACTGCTCATCTCTGCACTTTGACCCTGGTCCAGCAAAAGGTCAGGGGTCACCTTAAGACATAGATACAAAAAAAAAAAAAAACTGCTCTTGCAATTTTGCATGCTAAGCAATTCATGGAGCACCCAGGAAATGGGGTTTCTGACCTTGGCAGAACGAAATGAATTCTTACTTGTGCCTCAGACAGACTGGCCTGCGGTGCCGCTGCAGACGGATATCTCCCCGGCGAAGTGCGCTGATTAGCAGAGTGCTCAGGTGCAGGTGGTCTCCGCTGGTCCACAGTTTGGCCTCCATCAAACCGGTTCACTTGTCTGCTCACGTTCGTCTGCCTCTGGTTGGACTGAAACTCGTTTGTTTGGTGAGGAGGGTCCTGGTGGGAATGACTCTTCTTCCCTGGCTGCAGCGTCCCATTTAGACCCGTCTGATGTGACCCACCCCACATATTCCTCTGCATGCTCCCATCTCTACCACTGACCCGCTGAGTCTGATCTCTCTCTGCTCTTAGTCCTATTCCACCGTCTAGGTTTCCATAACTACCAGACTTTCCATCCCCGGGCGGCCTGGACAGGTGAAAGTCCTCGTATCCTCCCTCTCCATCCCTGTCCAGCAGTGACCCGTGGGACTGGGCCCGACGTAGAGCTCCTCCCTGGTCTCTTCCACCTCCTCCTCCTCCTGCATCCACCACCTGAGTTTCCGACTCTCTGTTCCTTGGAAGGCTGTTGTAGCCCGGTGAGTAATGAGTCTTGAGCTGAACCCCATATGAATCTCCTTTTTGTCCGTCCTTCAGGACCACATAGGGCTGACCTGCGATACCCTGCACCCTGACTGCCACGCCATATTTGGGTTGGGGTACAGGTTTTCCAGGACCACTGTGCAGGTATTCATCAACGAAGCGAACCTGGACACCGTAGTCCACCGGGGTCTTTCGACCTGAGGACGGTGCACAAATGCTGTCAACAGAGTAAAGGTGGGGTGGGAGACAGGAAGCCAGGAAAATGAGTACCTGATAACAATGTTAGTAAACTGTCATGTCTATCTGGGTGAAAAGAAAAAAAAAACTGATGACCAAAATAAAATATAAACCAAATAAAATCATGCTTTGATTTTTTTTAAAACGCCAGAATGAAGGAAGTTTTTAAATTAATAGTTTTGGCTAAAATTTAAAGATATATTTTTGTTCACTAGCTAGCTCAATAATAGGCAACAAACAAAGAGAAAAAACAACTATTCTTTAAATTTAGATAATTATAATAATAATACTGGTCTAATACAGTAAATACAATATATACAACATATTGGGTAATTAAATACACAGCTAGCCACTTTACTAGAAATGTAGCTAGATGCTAGCTAGATAGATATAGATAGATGACATACTAGAAGAGACTAATAGATACAGTAGATGACTTGCTACATAGATAGCTTGTTAGCTAGGTAGATCTACTGAGCTACAAAACTCAAGATCAAGTCTTTTTAAACCAACACCTTGGGAATGCATTAATAACAAACTCTGGGGGGAAAAAAAAAACGTTCCAGTTTTAGGTATTTGCTCTCAAGGACTTTGTCCTCTTCATTAGTCATTAACCTGGAACACAAACTCTCCTGTGGTATCACTCTGCTCTCGTAAATACCAAGCTCCTCCTTGAGTTTGGAAACTTTCCAGTCAGATACCAGAACCTAAACCCTAAATCCGCCAACCAAACAAAAGAGGTCAAATACAAATACCGATGATTCCAGACTTTTTTCTTTTTTATCAGTATCTAAATCCAACACTCATTTGTCCTTTTTGACTCACTAATCCTTTTTTTTTTTGCTTGTTGGGGAAATCTAAAACTCTCACACTGCACTAATGTCAGGCCACAGCCATAAATCACTGTGAAACATGGAACCCTGTGTTAGTTCCTTAATGTACCGAACACTGCTGATATTAAATTGACTCACTTGTCATTCCCTGTGTTAGATTCCCACCACTCCCCCACCGACATTATAAAAGTATGGTTCATTAGGCACATTTGAAGGCCATTACAACACTCCCTCCTGACCTCTCATGCTACAGTATGTACCGTCCCCTTCCTCTCAACAGCTTTTCAAGGTGAGACACTGAACGTGCACGGGGGAGTTGAAAAGGGAGGGTGAACCGAAAGTGAGGGGTGAAAACAACCGGGATTCTTCTCTTATCAGTGCCTTGTGTTATAAACTCAAAGTCAAACTGTTCCTGTGAAGAACACTGCCCTGTACACACAGGACGGACAACAGAAGTAAAACACAAACACTGAAAGTATTAAACGCACTCAAACTATCAAGTTTCAAACTAGATTTTGAGCTGTAAAACACAACTTAGAAAAGCAAATGAATTAACAAAAAAATATTCTATTGAGTTTTTCTCCCTATAAAAACAATGACATCCATGTTTTGTGCATTTTATACTTCCACTGAAGTACTGACGTTCTCCAGGGGAGGCACACCTCACGTTTTGAAACCCACCGCTGTGTTAATGTATAACATTTACAAGTTTTTTTACAAGTGTTTTGACAATCCTCCTATAAGTTGTTGGTCTGTTTTGGGATGTTGTAAAGAGTTCAGCTCTTCCTAAAGTTCCAACTTCCTTGGACTTTGAACAACTTCTGCGAGGGAAGATCTGTTCCTCCTGTTCCACTGGACTCTGTCTCTGTCTGACAATATTTAATATGCAGATATGAATTATGATGCGTATACCAACGTACAACACAACCAAGGAATTCCAAAACCATAGAGGAAATAAACAAATTACTGACAACTTAAAACCACCAACGATATATATATGCGGAGAATCATTCTGAAGACGTCACCTAACACGATACTGATGACCTCTGAATGTCATCTGTGAGCTTGTGATGCCTGAGCATCAGCGTCAGCAGGTCAAGCTCTTCATCCGATTTGCAGTTAGTGGATAATGTCATCTGTGAGCTTGTGATGCCTGCGCAGGTCAAGCTCTTCATCCGATTTATAGTTAGTGGATTTTTTTTTGCCCACCCTTTGGGAACCAGAGTGGAAGCACCTTGTCACAGCACATCTGCCAAGTCGAGCATGAAGTCTGCAGCCCACTGCCTCCACACAAAGGTCAAGGGAACACATTGCATACGGGGTGAAAAAAAAATGACCAAAAGGCAGTGCATTCATTAAATACAAAGAGCAGCTCTGATCAATGAAGACCTGAGCTCCAAGGTGGTGGAGAAGAGCAAGTTCAACATAGAATAACATCCTTTCATTCTTCATTAGTTACTTATTTTCTATGGCTCACAGGAAGAAGACCCTGCCAGCTCCGTCAGGGATAATGGAGTGAGGGAACCCATCCTATTGTGCAGCTGATGTGGGGCGGAAAATGAGGGCAGTCACTCTGAGAATGCTAAAACTATCCCCGCCTTCTTTTGTTCAATCCCTCACATTGTCTGTGATTACAACAAGTTTGCTTCATAGCAAATATTCTCATCACCCCCCCTCTCCCCACTTTACCTTAAAGCTAACTACACAGAGCCGCTAACCAACAGGCTAACCAACAGTGAGCCCTTTACTTCATTTTGGTGTTGGCTTTCTGTAAAAACATCACTTTGGACTGTGCACAAAAATATCATTTAAACTGAAACATAATTCCTTTGAGTCCCTCAATCACACAAGTTATTATTTAAATGCATATGTTTGGGAATTAAACCGTACAGCAGCTTTTACAGTCAAAGATAAAGTGATTATCGAGCTCATGTTCCTCAAGCTATATTGACGAGGGCTTCACCTCCAACCTCAAATTGAATTCTAGCAAATTAAATCAAATTGGGATAATTCCCTGTTAAGCTCCGTGTCGGGATAGAAAATATGATTATGAGATGAGTGGGTGTGGAGAGAAATGACACAACAGCAGCTGCAGTATCTGTGCGGTTGTAAAAGTGCCTGTGCTGACTCATGGAATCGGTTATTTCAACACACCACTTTTAGCCTGGCCTAAAACTGTCAAAGAAATACCTGGAGTCAGGAGAAGAAGCCCAACTGCCATAAAAGACATAAATAAAATTAAACATTTGTTGTTTTTTTTAAAAATATATTCACATTTGGAGCCGACTTCAATTGTGCTGATAGTTTGTGCCAATTGTGTGCAGTCTTGCAGCTAAATGCTACTTCACTATGGTTGCTCTAAACTCTGGGCTCCACTAACTGGCCTGGGTTTGAGGGTCACTGGATTTATATTCAATTAACATTCCATTGTGCAATTCTATAAATTAATATCTTATTTATTTTGGAATATGTGGCTTTGCCGCCATTTGTTTCTGTTTTATAGGGAACAAATATATTGAGATATATGTTGTGTATATATATATATATATATACATTTTGATTTGGGGATCAAGACACCCAGCTTTACTGCAGAACTTTGCTTACAAATTCTTCGAGTTTCCATACATATTCATACATATATATACTCATACTGTATATGTGTAGTATACTGTACACGACCTTCAAATTAACAATGTCAGTGATAACATATCAAGTATGACTGATTGACTGTAAAGTAACACAAAGCTCTTACGGCTGTTTGAGAAGTTTCACACGAGCAGCTGATTAAAACATAAACGTGAATGAGTGTAAGGTGTGTCTGTTTAAGGACAGACAGACACTCAGTCCTCAGAGTATTCCTGACATTAAACCAAACACTTATCCTCTGCTACAGCCTCCTCCTTCTCCTCTCTACACTACACCTCTTAAAGACCAAAACATACAGACACATTTACTCACTTTTTTCCTTTGTGCTTTTAAATCCAACAAAGTTCACTTGGCATCACAGAGAATCTTCAGTTGTACGGGCACCAAACAGTCCATACATGACTCTGTATTCCTGAAACGTGACCACAAAGCCTCCTTTTTCCTACACATTCCACACACTTGTTTCCCTCAGTGTCTACCTCACCAACAAAGGCGTATGTATGTGCACCTTGTCCGGCCCAGGAGTCCTCCCTGGGGCCAGAGACTGGATCTTACAAAGAAGAGCTTCTCTGGTGTTTGTGAGACGTGTCAAACTGAAATATATTTTTAAAGAGGAAAATAAAAATAGTTTTTAGCTGAATGGTAACAAAAAGAATTCTAACCATATGGGTTTTTTTGTCCAAATCCAAAGATATTCCATTCACTGTCACAGAGCGGTGTGAAAAATTACATTTCAGGTTATCTGAGAATTTGTGTTCATTACATGATCGTTTGCTCTTCCTTGATAAAATAGTTATAATGCAACGCAGCATTCATTTAGTCAGTGATTCATCAAATACAGCCACATTAGTGCAGATCATGAGATTTAAGTCAGGCAAAAAAAATGTAAATGGGTCACACTGTGTGTGTGTGTGTGTGAGTGAGAGAGAGAGGGAGAGAGAATCTCAGCAAGTGAGAGAGCTCCAATTCTCTCTCCTCAGGAGTCACACACACTCCTTGAAACATGAAACCATTTTACAGGTTCATTACTATCAGTGTTAAATTGTGTTGACATTTATCAAAGTGACTCAGGCTTCGCTTCTCTTTACAGTTGTCATACTGTATGACAGACATTCTGTAGGTGTAACCATCCCGTTTTTGTAGAGACACACATCAGAATCACCTGATGTCAGTCTCCCTCACCCTGTCCCTCACCCTGTCCCTGTCCCTGCCAGTCTACACTGTCACTGCCTGATTAATATGAGGAAAAAATACATTTGACCCTGTCCCTGTCCCTCACCCGTCTACACTGTCACTGTCTGATTAATAAGAGGAAAAAATACATTTTTATTCTTGATAAATATAACATAACATTATCAATAGTGTACTCCACTAACAGAACTAACAGCATTTAAAATTAATTAAAAATAGCTATTTTTATTTTATGTTTGACAGAGGTAAGAGGATTTTGACTGAATTTATAAATATGATAATAGAAGGTACAAAATTATTTCTGTTTTCTTTTTACAATTTTATCATAATTTATTTACCCCTGACGTTAACATTATAGTTTTCTGAGTAAACAAACGGTATCTGTAAAGGTATAATGCTTATAATTTATCGTTGTTTGCAGCTGATTGCAGATTAGAAATTAGTCCAAATTAAAACTTCAAATAAGGTCAAATATTTGCTCATTCCAGGTCAGTGATGACTGGAGCAAACACTGTTCTATTTGTTACTAAACATTTGACTTTTTTGTGTACAAAACAACATTTTCTGACAATATTTATCGGTGCACTGTTTTTCCAGGATCGTATTCCCCTGATGGCAGTGTTAATACAAACAAATAGCTTTCGTAGAATCGTTTATACCGACGTGTACTCTTGTTCGGTTGGTTAGAAAAATAAAGTGCTCGTTGTAATTGTTTCAATTCACGTCGCATAACGGGTATAAATGACAATACACGTACAAACAAACGTAGCGTTAGAGAAAAGAAGCTGCTCTCCGTGTCTTTTAGCCTCATCTCATTAAACTCACGTTAGCTCGCGAGCTAAAGTGACCAAATGACAATAAAAACTCACGGACAGGTCCACACCAGTATTAAGAGCAACAACACAGAAATAACTCGAAGAAATAAAAACAGAACATTCTAGTTTTCCAACAGTCTCACAGAGCGAACAAGTGTCAGATACCCACTCCTCTATGTTAGAAAAAAAAAAACAACAACCATAAAGTTACCTCTCTCTTTCCAGTTATGGCTCTACTCCTCTGTGACCTCGGTCTCCGCTAATTCGCTCCGTAACTCGGCTATTTTAGCCCCTCGGTTAAAGTCCCCAGTGAAAAGTGAGAGGATAAACCAGCTCTAACCGCAAATGAACACAGCAACAAGTTCATCTTTCAGCAACCTGTTACCTTTGTCGTCGATGAAAACACCCCGCCCAGCGTCTCCACAGACAGCGTCACGATTGGAGCAGCGCGTCAAAATAGGCGGGACTTAAGATGTCGGCTTGGATTTTTACTGGTCAGAACGCTGCGTCAGTCATTTTACAGTGCTGCGCCACCTTCAGACCCTTTTTCTAAGAGTGGGAGTTCTTTTGCACTTCAGGTGACGAACAGTAAACAGTAAAAAGAAAAAAAAAATCACTCACGGCGAAGGTGAACACATATTTTAGTTCCTATAACAAACCAGTAGATGGTGCAAATCAGTACAGACGAGTTAGTTAGGGCCCTTTGCAGCTTTTACACCCAGATACTGACCCCAGGTGGGCAAAGAGAGCGCAGTGAAATCATTTTTTTTAAGTTTCGCGGTTACGTGTGTGATTATTTATTTTACTTTTGTATTACAAATAAGGTTAATTGATGTTAATTGTGGTTTGAAATGAGTATACCGCAAGAAAATAATATTTTCTTGCTATACGCAAATATTTATGTAAAATAAAATAATTTTACTGATGCCTCTATACATACACTACCCAGGAATTGTAATTTGTTGTTTCACTACTCAGGAATTGTAATTTGTTGTTTCTATTATGGGGTGTGTTAACTTTGTTTATTTATATGAAGTTCAAATTTTAAAATCAATAAAGTTATGTTTGGAGTTCGGGAGAAACCAAGTTTCCCTTTGTTCAATTTTTTTTTCTTGAGAATCTATTTAAATGTTTATAATTCAGTAAAAAAAATCCAAAGTCTCCCCCGCCCCACCGTCACGGTCCCTCCTCTCCACACTCCAGCGACAGTCCCACACTCTCTGCGCGCACCAAACTTTCCACTCACATCGTCTTTCTCCACTCAGACTCAGACACACAAACGCACCATCTCAGGCTCCGGTTATGGGAACTTTACTGGGTTCGAAGAAAAATTTTCAGTTCTTCCGAGTTTACGCCTTGGAGAAGCTCCTCTTTAAACTGCAGGGATAGTTGTTACTGCACAGTGCCGCCGGCTGATGATCTCCAGGGGCGCATCAGAGGTGTTCTGATTGTCAGGAGTTTTAGATGCAGCAGGGATCAGCACATCATAATAAAGGTGTTCCTGCTCGAGCTGGTTACGCAGACGTGACTTTTTAATTGAAGTTATCTGCAGGCGTGCGTGGGAGGAAAAAAAATCGTGTGCGTAAATTTGGAGCTTTTGCGCACGTTCCAATTGGCTGCAGTTTGGTTCGCTTTCGCGAAAGATCTTTAGGCATTAATTGGCATCTGTCAGGTGCGATAACAACCATCGACGGCCATGGCAAAATGGTTTAATTTCCCCATTAACCTGAAGAACGGGAACGAGAGAGTCCGCTCAGCCTCCGAGTCTGGACCACAAACGCGACCAAAACCGTCCTTTTCTCGCGACAGCTTAAAGGGCAATCAGCGCAAAGATGGAGGAGTTGGGGGGCTGTTAGCGGGAAGAAACAGGAAAAATTCGGCTACGGAGTTGGGTCGTAACAATGCAAGTTCTGGAGGGACCGTCTGGGACAGTCTTACAAGTGGAAAAGGCCGTAAAAACTCCAGGATTGAGACCGGGACACCTGATGAGAACCGACCGGTGAGGACGTCCAGCCTGGCTCAAGCCTACATCAGCAGGATGATCAAAGTGGACAAACAAGAGAAAACTCCCAAACTCAATGGGATCAGTGAACAGAAGGTGCCAGAAAACGAGAAAGTGAGGCCCGACATCAAGACAACGGTGAGTATGTTATTTCCTGATGGTGAAAATGTTCATTTGTGTGTCATTTTTAACCTATCATATACAGTATTTAAACAGAATACGATGTGTACAAACTAACAGTGCATCGACCCAATATTTCAATGGATGTACAGTCTGTTCTTTTTGCCCCCCCCCCCACACCCCTGACCTTTGTTCATAATCCTGTATTTAGTTTCCATCAGTCTCAAAAGAATACAATGAAGTTTCACCACATTGTGTCAGATCAAACAGGCAAATACAATGTGCTGACCTCTTTGCACAAGTATTTCCGCTTGTCCCTCCATTAGTTGTCACTAAGTCATGGACACTACACACATACACACACACACACAAAGGGGTGTATCAGATCCCCGTCCCTCGGTGGCTCTTTTGACTCCAGGTAACATCTGAAAAGGTGCAGCCCATCATTGTGCTTTGTAACTGGTATATTTATCTTCTCCTCACAGTTGATTATTCTGGAAGACTACGCGGATCCTTTTGATGCCGACAAAACCAAAGAGCAGAGAGCGGCCGAGAGAGCAGGAGTGAACGACGGCTACATGGAGCCCTACGACGCCCCACTCATCATCACAGGTGAAGGCAGATAAAAAGTCAAAAAAGTCAAACTTCACTTGCTGCTAATGTAACATCCTTGTCGAAGGGTTAAGTGTCTGGTTTTTTACTACTAACTACTACTTTAAAAGAGACTCAGAGACAGGTTAAATTCCCAGCCTCATTCCAGCTTCCCTCCCTGCTGGCGGTTGCTATAGGAACAACGTTGTGCTGGGACAAAGGGTGCAGCTTCCTCTTCTAACTTCCTGTCTCCTGCCTGTGTTTCCTTTGCCCCCTTTCTCTTGATAGGAACTTGGCCCGAGTGCCCCCTTTAGCCTCCTCACACACAGACAGACTTGTACACATAATACTTTATGATGCCATAAATCAAAACGACCCCCCCCCCCACACACACACAGCCCTTTCCGAAAAAACCTACATCCCCCATCCCTCGCCCAATCACTTCCCAGCAGTCAGGAAGTAGCCGGGTCGGCCAGCCAATCAGCATCAGTGTTGACCTTAGCATCCTGTAGTTCCATTGTTTGGACACACAATAGTGCAGACACTCAGGCTACTTGTTGGACAGCAAAGAAACATAACAAGAAAAAATTTGCAAAAGATGAAATGACTTGTTTGAACTACAACTGTACACAGACGAGCGTGTGGAACTGTGGTGTCACATGTCTGCCTGTAGGCTGTTTAAAAGTTGTACTTTGACAGAGAACAGTTGACTGTCCTTATGAGCTCACAGATCATTCAGTGCAACATTCATTCAGACATTTATGGACGACTCCTCTCCGAGGTTAAATGGAAGGTGCGGCCAATCCCAGCAGTGGAAGGACAAAAGTTAGGTTAAGCCTAGACTTGACTGAAATCATATAAAGTTCTGTCTCCAAAGACCCATATGTTCTGTTAGAAAATATTAACTATTTCAAATGACAGAACCTATGGGATCCAGCCCAGCAGAGGTCGCCATACTGGTTGTGAACACACCCCAGTAATTTGGTTTTTTTTGTTTGTTTTTTTTAAAATCCATTAGGTCAGTTTAATTTTTTTTTTGTAGTTGATTATGGTAAAAATATCATTACAAAAGCAATGCAACATGAACCACTCTCAACAAGATACACCAGTTTGTGTAAATCTAATTTGGTTATTATCACCAGAGGAAAACAGTTACTAACTTTCCTCTATTTTCCAATCGAACTACACCCTCCCTCCGCCAGACGGACACAGGAATACAGTAGGCGTTTTAAATATGTTGTTGAGTATGCAATCCATCAATAAATCAAATCATGAAACTACATATGGTTACGTTAAGGTAGGAATATTTAAGGCGTTGTATATTTGTGACATAAATCATAAACAAATGTTCGTATGACACTGACCCCGGTTTACTTGACCATTCTGTCGTAGAGGTTCGCAGACGGGGCTCCAAAGATCTCCTGAAAGTGTGTGTTCTGCTCGACCGTGGCTCCAAGAAAGGGAAGGCAGATGAGATCAAGACCCCGCCTCCTCCAAATATCTATGACACACCCTACGAGGGCGGACTGGAGGGAGACGGCGACGGCGGCGTGTGGATCCCCGTCTCTCGACCGGAATCCGACGGCCGTCCTGCCGGGGAGTATGAACTGCCCTGGGAGTGGAGAAAGGAGGACATTGTTAGAGCGCTGTCAGGTAAAAGAGGGAGAGCGTGATTGGATGGAGAACTGAGGGGGCGGGGAGGGGGTAGGAGTGGGAGGAAGGATACTATGAGTTTAATTGCACAGTGTTGTCACAACCATTTTATGTTTGAACAATCCCACCAACTCTATTTCCAAAGACATGTTTATCTTAGTTGCGCTGGTCTACGTTGATCGACTCTCACATTGTCTTTACTGTTTGTTGCAGCTCAGTTCGAAGCGGTGGATTGTTCTACCGGTAAAGACAACAGTTCAACCACCGGCCGTCAGCAGCAACAGACGTTGAGACAAAAGAACTGGAACCACAAAATACTGGTTCCCTCCCCTCCATCCTCCTCCTCGTCTCCATCGTTCCCCTCCTCACCTATCCTTAAACTCTCCCCTCTCACGCCTCCATCTCCATCTTTCCCCACACTTAAGCTTTCCCCGCTGTCTCCCTCCTCCAGCGCTAACAAACACTCTCCTCCGTCTCCTACGTCTGTTGGTGTCCCACTGGACGGAGATGAGGCTAAACTGGACCCCAGTCTGCCCCTGGAAAAACAAAGGTGAGGCAGAAGAAGAGTCTCGAGCAGGCGTGGGCAAACCTTTTGACTCGCGGACCACAATTGTCCTAAAATTGAACAAAGCGGCCGGTTCAGGAGCAGATACGCGTGGGCAAACCTTTTGACTCGCGGGCAGACAGAGACAGAGATAAACAACATGTCAAGGTCATGGATAAACGCTAAAATGCTTTTATCCTTTTCTACACCATCTATTGGGGAAACGTGGGTATTGCAGTGAAAAGGCAGAAGTATAATGATAATTATATCATTTGGAAAGGTTTAGCGGGCCGGATTAAAAAGCTGAACGGCCCCGCATCTGGCCTCCGGGCCTTAGTTTGCCCATGCCTGGTCAAGAGTCTCCTCTGTTTATACATTATCCATGCTTGGTTCTGTCTTCAGACCTAACTTTAGCTGTGTCTGTCTGTCTAATGTTGAAGAAGCCATTTAAATGGAATGGTACAATCGCCAAATTTGGCTGATAAACTCCATAAAAACGAGATAACACTATGTCAATCTGAGTTAAGGAGCACAATCTAAATGATACTAAAAAAGCCATTAAATGTTGAAGCTTTAGTGAACACTAATGGAAGCTGCGGGGCCGGGGGTACGTACAACTGTATTTTTTTTTCTGCCCATAAATCAAGTCACATGTGGAAAATATACCAAGCCACAAACACAATACAAAAATCAATATTTGGTTCATACACAGCACATTCTGATGATCGATGTTTACACTTGGTGCATTTTAATTTTAATCATTAGTTTGTGGATTTTATTTTAGTCAGTTTAACCTAATCATGAATGAATATCCTCCGTGTTTCAGCTCTTCCAGCCGGTTTATAAATGACTTTTGTCTGTAACCTTGTCAGCACCAAACTGTATCCTCGTAGATCTCTCCCTGACGCCACATACACAGGGACTCCCCATATTTTACTTGTTGTCCTGACGGCGTCAGCTTTGACACTGCCAATGTATTCATTCTACGGCACATGTCTTGATTTATTTACGCAGAGTTGAAAATGCCTCCATCAGCCTCTTTTATTTGCCTGTCAATCTTTATTTCTCTTCCCCCGTCTCGCTCCCTCTCTCTCACCATCATCACCTATCATTAACTTGACATCTGACTTATCTCAGTATGTCAGTGTGATTTCATGTCGATGACCTCCGTCTCTCAATGTGACCCACCCTCCCTTTTCCCTCTCTTAGCTGGTACCATGGCAGTGTGAGTCGACAGCAGGCTGAGGCTCAGCTGCAGCGCTGCAGGGAGGCCAGCTTCCTGGTGAGAGACAGCGAATCAGGAACCAGCAAGTACTCCATTGCTTTAAAGTGAGTGTGGGCGTTTTATACATTAAAGTTCATTCCAAAAATACACAATTAATTCAGCGTCGGTTATCTAGAGATATGGTGCTTCGAAAAGTTAGAGTCAATCAGTTATCAGTGAGGACCGTTCCATTTCTTTATAGGAATTACTTAACAAAATTAAAAATTATACAGAGTCAATAATACATGCACTTTTTTAAAAAAGGCTACAGTAGCTCTTTATAGGAATTACTTAACAAAATTATTAGTAGCATAAGAGACTTGACTATCCATATATTGTTTTGGAATGAAATAGAACAACAGTAGCGTAGCATAGTATAATAGTATAGTAATGACCAAGAGAAGTCTGATAAATAAAGATTATTTTAGGATTTTCAAAGAAGAAAATGCATATAGTATGATATTGTACAGCATAGTAAAGTCTATCTTAGCATAGCATAAGATAAAGTAAGTGCAGAAGAACTCTGGTGTGTGTACTTTTACCATTCTGTGTGAACTTTAGACCCGACATCTTTAACCGCAAACTGAACTGAGTAAATTCACTGCCTCATTAGAGGACAGGCAGATAAGACTATCTCCACTGCACTCTCTCTGCAGGCTAACTGTTGCTGTTTTTCTTCTGAATTACTTTTTTTTTTTTTTTTACTTCACCCACGTCTTTTCTCTCCATCCTGTCCCATCAGGACCAGTCAGAGCTGTGTGCACATCATCGTGGCCCAGACCAAGAGCAGCAAAGGCTTGGGCTACACCCTGAACCAGAACAGCTGTGTCTTCTCCAGTATCCCTGAACTGGTCAACCACTACTGTACACACAGACTGCCTTTCACTGGAGCCGAGCACATGACTCTGCAACATCCTGTCACCAGGCTGCACTGAGCGAAAGACAAAAAACAAAAAAAAAATACTAAAACAGTGATTCTGTACTGTATGCAACAATGTACGCAGAGATACAGCATGACATGTGCAGGCACAACCTAGTGGTCACAGTCAGACACAGCACTGAGAGGCTGATTATGTTGTTTCCAAAACCACTCAGGAGAGGCTGATTATGTTGTTTCCAAAACGACTCAGGCATCGACACACACATACACACACATACACACACACACACACACACACACATGACAGTGCAATTATATTAGTGAGTACTATGAGCGGAGTAAATGGACAGGCTTTATAATCTGCTCATGTGACGGCCTTACACAGAGGTGCTGACATCATCAATTAGCAGCGTTCCATCTTTTCAGGTCCAGTTAGGTCCGTGGAATCGATGCACCTGATTGGAGCATATTCATTCATCCATCTGACGTGTCAATCAGCTTATTGATTTATCCTCAAAACAAGGCTGATTTTTTTTCCGATCGCCGTGTCTGTCACGAGAAAGAGTTGTATTGATTAGACGGTTAGGACTAGTGTAGGAGGAGGGGTCATGTGACATTATACTGTATCCGGCAAATGGAAGAACATTTGGCTGCGTGCCAGCGCGCAAATAAATTTATGGTCGTCCTTGGTTGTAAACAAATGAAAAAAATCATACTTTGAAATGGACTGTAAAAGATCCTATTATACGTATACATAAATGATATATGTGCAGGGGGAGAGTCCACACACACACACACACACACACACTGATACTGGTTGTGTATTGATGTTGTTAATCATTTTTTCTCGGTTAATAAAATATAAAAAAAATGACATTTATATATATATTCATGATTTACAAACCATGTTATCAGCAGAAAAAAAAAGAGAATGACACCGATCATCTGAGGTGAGATAATCTGTGTGTTTGAAATCACTGACCTGTGTGTGAAATCAATTAGACTAAGTCAAACACACACCCACGCCGCCTTTGTGTGTTTTGTGAACAACTCACATCCAAACACTGTATTACCTTCTAATTACAAATAAGAACTCTATCTCTGATTTGTCATCAACTCCCAATGACACTTTGAATGTCGTGCCAAAAAAAAAAGTATTTTCCTAACATTTGACCCCGGAAGTGTCACTGTATACTAGGATACACACACACACACACACACGCTGGTGTCAACACCACAACATGCCAATTATTTGCACGGCCCAAAATTCATTGCAATTCAACCTTCCATAAATAATTTCATGACAACACAAGTAAAGGAAAGCTCCGGGCCTCACAGTGATGCGTGCAGACATGTCACAGTCGTACCAGTTAGAACCGGTGTAGCGGTTTCCACGAGCAACTCTTTGTGTGTCTTGCATGCACCGTCGGCCTATGTGTGCATCCATGTGTGTGCATGCTGTCCAGCCGTATGTGTGCATGTGTGCGTGAGAAGAGGGAGTCGGATTTTTTATTTATTTATTTTTTCTGTTCATGGATTACCAGGTTGCCATGGTGATTAGGTAGAGCCACATCTACGGGGAAGGAGGAGAGCGAGGGAGAACCAGACTGCAATATTAAAAAGCCATGGATAACTGTGACTGTGCTGCATTGTTGGAGGCTGCTGTGTGTTTGTGAATGAAGAGCCAGACGACGTGATGTGACGTTCAGGCAGCAACAAAAGTTACAGAGTAAAACCGCGCAGCTGATCTGAGTCGGCCTGCTTCACCCACAGAGTCACCAAAGGCAATGTTGGAAAACAGAACCCCAGTAAATATCATCCCTCCATTCATCCGTGTCATCCCTTCAGCTCGGTGTGCTTTTATGTTCTCCAATTAAATTATGAAGTAGGTCAAAGGAACACAACAAAATCTGGGGGAGTCAGACGTGTGCTTGGTACACGGCTTAATTTCTTCTTCTTCTCTTTAATTATAAGTTTCGCAGCTCATCGTTGTTAACTCGTGTCTAACGTCTCCTAATGAAGGAAAGATATTCAGATCAAATTTAACCTTTCGTACGCTACGCTTTCATCCTTCCCAGGCTCGTCGAGGAGCTGCAGTCAATCCCAGCTGTCATCAGACGAGGACAGAGGACAGAGGATCAATTTAGGATGTGAACAATT